GCCTCCGCGGTGCCTGGGCCGACCGTGGCAGCCCCGCCATGTCCAAACTGGCAGCCTGGCACAGCGGTCGGAGAGTTTAACCTGCACAGCCCTCGGGAAGGTCCTCATGTGCCCTCCCGCTGGGCAAGTTTGAGAGGCAGTTTAAACACACATCACACCTTCCCGCTAGGAAAAGGATGAGTGTATTCAATTCTGAGCAGTCAGGCATGCGCTCCTAAAAACCAGGCTGCTCCTCAGCTCCCTGAGGACGCAGAAGTGACAGGTACCATGTCAGTTCAACCCAAAATAGACCTGAGCGGCCTCTATAAAGGTGCGATTCTCCCTGCCACAACACCTACCGTGCAGCGCTGACGGCCGCACAGCCTCACAGAGGGCTGACGTTCACACCACCACATGCCAGCTGGGTGAAAGCCACGTTCTCGTGGCACAGGTCTATTTTCAGCCAGATCAGCTCACCCAGCCCAGGTCGTCACTACCGTGACCGTTGAAACTGGTCCAACAAGCAACTGGGAGCAGAGCACAAGGTCTCAGTCAGTGAGAGCGTAGTGCTGAGAACACCAAGGTCGCGATCCCTGCTCGGTCCCCATGTGTTGCCTGATCTCGTCGCGAGGCGTCCCTGCCCATGACAGGGAGGTCGGATTAAATGATCTCCAAGGTCCCTTCCAGCCCAGGCCATTCTGTGATTCTTTCTCATGGTACCCATCCCTGCCGTGCCCCCGCCGCTGCCAGAGCAGGACACGTGCCTCTGAGCGGATCTCACTTAGAAAACCTTGCGTCCAGAAAACACCTGGTTTGTTGTTTGGTATTTTTCGGTCAAATCACTTCCCCTATTTGATTTAAGTTGCAACACAAGTGGCCATACTGGCACTCCATGCCATGGCTTGGGGCGGAATGGGAGGCAGCCTGACTATTTCTGCGCCGCGGCGTTGTAAACCACAGGCACAGCAACAAATCAGCAAGTCACTGCTGCTGTCAGCTGCGGAGAGGAGTTGTCCACAAACAGGGCATAAAAGGGGAAAACAAGGGCAGCAAGCCAAGCCCAGCAGCGCTGGGAGGGGAGAGATGAGCCCGTCCACGGAGACAGCAGCAAAGAGCAGGCAGGACAAGAAACTGGCAATGGAGGTTGAAAGGGCAGCTCAGAGGGGACACAAGAAAAGAAGTGACCTCTGTGAGCACCATAACTCTTCCCAAGGACGGGCAGTCGATAGGAAAAGGGGGACAGGGGACTGAAAACAGGATTTTGACCCAAGTAGCACATAGTGGGAGCTTCAAGGGGGAGAGGCTGGTGCCTTCACCCAAAGGTGGGGAGCAGAGCAAGCCGCCCTTGGGAGGGGAGAGAGGCGCTGGAAGGGCTGGAGAGGGAAGCGGTGTGGCAGGACCCCTCCACACCAAAAGCACCACAGAAACATACACGTGAGCTTAGGAGAGAGAGAAAGTAGTTACAGGGTATTTGCTTGGCAAGGAAGAAAGCAAAAGGCTGCAAGACTCAGCTCAGCGATCAAGACAGAGCTCAGCCGCCAGCCTTTTTAATGTTCAAGAGCAGGCTGCTTTTGATCTGTTTTGCCAGCAACTGGATTAGCAAAGGTCTGAAATGCCAGCGGCTCTACCAGCACTGTTGCTCCTCAGGAGAGAGGAGAGGTCAGCTATTTTCTGTTAAGTGCAAGCTATTGAAAATAACAAATTCTTCTCATGGCACTTGGCCACGACCGAGCGTGTGTTGCTAACTATAGTCTTCCGTTTTAACAAGCTTACATCTATCTTTGCGTGCAAAGACACGTAAGTGGATGACTTGGGTTGGTGACCTCTTTGCACACCTTAAAATTGAGGGGTTGAGGATGACTAAGGTGAAGCTTAACCAAGGAAAAAAATCTGCACAGAACACATTGAAATACGAAAGGGTTTGGTACAATCACGTCCGTGTGTAAAGAAAGAAAAGGAAAAGCAAGGAGCACATTCCTGGAGCAGGGCCAGCCCGGGGCTGCCACACAAGCCTCAAACATAACATCAGGAACTCTGGAAAGACGTGATAAACCCGGGATTGCAGAGAGATAAGGCCATAACTTGGACGTTATAAAAAAAAAAAAAAAATTAACTCCACCTCCCCTTCATGGGGTTAAAGAAGTTTCCTGGGAATGGTTTCAATCACGCTTTTCTGCACTCTCTCAGCTACAAACGCTGCGCGACGCAGCAGCCGTGGAGCGTGAGCCCGCCGGCACAGCACCACCCAGGCAGTGACACCTGTGGGGCCACCGTCATCTCTGGGGACACAACATGCCCAGGCACAGGACTGCCCTGCAGGCCTTGTTGGCAAACCCAGACCAGACCCCACCACAGCCCGGCCGTGGGCACAGGCAGCTTGCCAGCACGGCGGCGCCACCAGGGAACTAACCCCGTCACCAGAGCCCACAGCACAAAATCCCCACTTGCTTCCAAAACCAAACCCACGTTCCCAGTGGGCATCCTCCCGTATTGACAGGGAGATTTTGGGAGTTTCCTGGACCTAAGTAAATGCACAAGTATTTTCTACACCTTGTAGCTTTTTAAACAGGCCACAGCTCCAGCTGCTTGGCCTGAGCCCCACCTTGCCTTATAGAATCCTAGAACTGTCAGGGCTGGAAGGGACCTTAAAGATCATCTCGTCTGTATGTCCCTACACCCCCCACGAGACCAGGCCGCCCAGAGCCCCATCCAGCCTGGCCTTAAAAACTCCCAGGGATGGGGCTGCCACCCCCTCTCTGGGCAACCTGTGCCAGGGTCTCCCCACCCTCATGGGGAAGAACTTCTTCCAGATGTCCAACCTGAACCAACCTATCTTTAGATTTAATCCATTCCCTCTAGTCCTACCTCTACCCAACATCCTCACAAGCCCCTCCCCAGCTTTCTTGTAGCCCCCCTGAGATCCTGGAAGCCACAAATAAGGTCTCCTCGGAACCTTCTTTTCTGCAGTGCGGAGCCTTCTTTTCCACAGACGGAACAGCCCCAGCTCTCTCAGTCTGTCTGCAGAGGAGAGCTGCTCCAGCCCTCTGAGCATCCTCGTGGCCCTTCTCTTGGACAAGCTCCAGCATGTCCAGGTCTCTTTTGTAACTGTGGGCTCCAGGCTCGCTGATCTTCTGGAGGGGTGGCAGGGCCATGGGGGGAACTCGGTCCCCAAGCAGCGAGGTGTCGTGCTGGGGGGCAGTGCACCAGGCGTGCGAAAAGCAGGAGGACACATACGGCTCATTGTGTGCAGTTGCATCTCACGTGGGCAGACTGGTTCCTTCTGAAGGCTGAGCCCTCGCAGGCCAGCAGCTTGGTTTTCTGAAGAGCTGTACAGACAGAGCAGGTAAGAGGCCAAGCTGCTGCAATCCCTCCTGTCAGCCTCTGAGACAGAGGCGATGGACGTTTGCAAGCTTTGCTCCTTCAAAAACAACTTAGGGCCCTCTCCTGCCTGGCAAAGCCTGAGAATTAAAAATAATAATTTCTTTAAAAAAGGGTATTTCAGCCTGAACGGGCATCCCACTCGCATCTCCTGATTAGATCTTCTCCCAAAGGCTACAAACGTTAGCGCAATGTCCAGGAAAGAATGAAATTGTTTTAACTAAAGAGAAGGGAGCAGGACTGGAAATGAGAGGGGCCAAGTACAGAAGAGCCACTT